AAAAAAAAATCTGGAAGGAACACAAATACATAGAGGTTAAATAACATGCTACTAGATGATGAATGAGTCAACAAAGAAATCATAGAGAAAATAAAAAAATACATGGAAACAAATGAAAACACAATAGTCCAAAATCTTTGGGATATAGGAAAAGCTGTCCTAAGATATAAGTTTATAGAAAAACAGTCCTACCTCAAGAAGCATCTAAATAAACAACTTAAGCTTACACCTGAAGGAGCTAAACAAAAGAATAAACAAAACCAGTAGAAGAAAGAAAATAATAAAGATTAGAACAGAAATAAATGAAATAGAAACTAAAAAATAATAATAAAACAGATCAATGAAACCAGAAGCTAGTTCATTGAAAAGATCAACAAAATTGATAAATACTTAGACTCATTAAAAACAGAGAGGACTAAAAGAAAATCAGAAATGAAAGAGGAGAAATAACAACCGACACTACAGAAATATAAAGGATAATAAGAGATAATTATGATAAATTTTATGCCAACAAATTGGACAACCTAGAAGAAATGGATAAGTTCCTAGAAACATATAACCTTCTAAAACTGTATCAGGAAAAACTAGAAAATTTGAACAGACTGATTACCAGCAGTTAATTACCCTGATAACAAAACCAGATAAAGACACTGAGAGAGAGAGAGAGAGACAGAGAACTACAGGCCAATATCTCTGATGAAGATAGATATAAAAACCTTCATCAAACTATTAGCAAACTGAGGGGTACCTGGGTGGCTCAGTCGGTTAAGCATCTGACTTTGGCTCAGGTCATGATCTCACAGTTCCTGTGTTCCAGCCCCATGTAAAGCTCTGTGCTGACAGCTGGGAGCCTGGAACCCACTTTGGATTCTGTGTCTCCCTCTCTCTCTGCCCCTGCATTCGTGCTCTGTCTCTTTCTCTCTCTCTCTCTCTCTCTCTCTCATAAATAAATAAATAAATAAATAAATAAATAAATAAATTTTTGAGAGAGAGAGACAGAGCATGAGAGGGGGAGGGGCAGAGAGAGAGGGAGACACAATTCAAAGCGGGCTCCGGCTCCAAGTTGTCAGCACAGAGCCTGACATGGGGCTCAAACACATGAACTGTGAGATCATGACCTGAGCCAAAGTCAGATGTTTAACCGACTGAGCCACCCAGGTGCTCCCAACAGTACATTAAAAAAATCATTCATCACGATCATGTAGGGTTTATTTCTGAAATGCAAGGGTGGTTCAGTATTCACGAATCCATCAACGTGATATATCATATCAACAAAAGAAAGGATAAAAACTATATGATCATTTCAGGAGATGTAGAATAGCATTTGACAAAGTACAACATCCATTCATGATAAAAACCTTCAACAAAGTAGGTTTGTAGGCAACATACTTCAACATAATGAAGACTATATATGCAAAACCCATAGTGAATATCATACTCAATGGTGAAAATCTGGAAGCTTTCCCCTATGATTAGAAACACAACAAAGATGCCCACCCTCACAACGTTTATTCAACATTGTACTGGAAATCCTAGCCACAGCAAGCAGAAAACAAAATGAAATAAAATACATCCAAATTGGTAAGGAAGAAGTAAAACTGTCACTATTTGCGGATGGCATGATACTATATAGAGAAAACCCTAAAGACTCCACCAAAACACTACTAGAACTGATAAAATGAATTCAGTGAGGTCTCAGGTTACAAAATCAATATACAGAAATCCATTGCATTTGTATACAGTAATAATGAAGTAGCAGAAAGAGAAATCAAGAAAATAATTCCATTTATAATTGCACCAAAAATAATAAAATACGTAAGAATAAACTTAACCAAGGTGGTGAAAAACCTGTGCTCTGAAAACAACACTGATGAAGGAAATTGAAGATGGCACAAACAAATGGAAAGATAGTCCATGTTCATGGATTAGGAGAAAAAATATTGTTAAAATGTCCATACTACAAAAATCAATCTACATATTTCATGCAATCGCTATCA